AATTAACTCCTATTTAATATTTTTTGTGGCGCCTATAAATGATAGACCCCCACCCCCCTCAATTTGAAAGATCATTCACTTGACCTTGTTTTAGTCCAGCATATCCCCCAAAATATGACCTTTGATTCAATAAAAATAGTACACTGAGCTATAATTAGGTATTGCAATTATTAACTTTTATTCGAACTTCTATATTTGTAAAATTTTCAACAATTCAAGTTCGAGAAAATAAAAGATGAAGAAAAATTGATACTGTTCGCATAAAATCTTGTGAACATTCATTTTTTTTTTTTTTTTTTTTTTTGACTCTTTGGTAAATAAGTTGAGTTGTGATTACAAGTCGCTTGCACAAGGAGAAATTTTTCAATCTGTGAAGTGGTATTAAATCATAGGTTAATTACAAGAATTTATTTGCTTGATCCTATGAATTTATAGGCTATATAAAATTTAACAATATTATTAATATAACAATTTAACTATTTTTTTCAACTTTAGCCTCGAATTGGAATTTATTTGACTGTGATCATGTGTTACTTTGTAGTTTACGAACAAAAGGTGAGATGGAATGGTTAAAAAATCCTCCTCTTAGTCCAGACTTATTTGGCCAAACTTCTAAAATTAACATCTATTAAGGACTCGTTTGACTATGGATTTTGCCAAAATAAACTTGAGTTTTATTTGGCAAACACATGTTTGGCCATAAATTTTGCCTACATTTTGGCCAAATCCCAAATCTCAAATCCCAAAACCAGCTCAATAGCTGGTTTTGAGCCAAAATATCTCTATTATATTTTTTAAAAATTGCCCCAAACTTTTGTATTTTATAAAAGAGCCCATCATTTATTATTTTGTAATGATGTTGCTTCGTCTTCTCGGTCATCTGATAGTGTATCATGTAGTTCATTATAAAAATGATAATTTTGTATCAAATTTATTTATGTTCAGGACTATGGTTTGCGATAATATAATGAATGTTATTGATAATAGTACTGTTGAGTATTTCTGATAGTTTTTAGAACTTGTGGGTATAAGTCATGTTTCATATTTTTTCAAACCAAACTTCACCCAAAACAGATGTCCAAACACATTTTCATCTTCAAACCAAACTTCACCCAAATCAAATTTTTCAGAATAAATTTGAGAATCTATGGTCAAACGCTAGCTAAAAGGTACTTTTTTTATAAGTGCTTTTCAAAATGTATTTTTACTGAGAAGGATTTATATTTGATTAATTAATTTAAAAAGTACTTTTAAGCAGTAACTATTATTTGGCCAAGCGTTTCAAAAAAGTATTTTTTAAGTATATTTTTTTTCAAAAATACTTTTTGAAAACGTGCTTTTAAGAAGAAATTATCCGCTTCTAAAAAAATTCCTTCTGCTTTTACTCAAAATATTTTTTTCCTTCTTTTGACCAAAATAGCTGGACCAACAAGCTATTAATAAGCCTATTTATCAAGATTAATCGGTCAGTAAATTTGAAATATCGAATAGTTAAATAAATAAAAATATTTATAATTTTGAGACACTTATATGGCCAACCCCACCTCAAACGAGAAAAGAAAAGGGAAAATATTCCCGCAGTCTACAGTGTGAATCTCTGCAGAAAACAGCAAGTAAACAAAATCTCTGTCCTTTTCTTCAATTGCATCAAAATCAGTACGTTCATCTTTTGGTTGCCTTAACTCTCTGACTTTTCTCCCATAACCCTATTCTAGCTCTGCCCACTGTTTTCTTCTTCTCAATTTAAATAAAAATCTACTCCTATCTACTACTGCGCACCATCAAAATCTGCTATTTAGTGATTAGACATATATATTAAACATACATATTCATATGTTTACAGCATTCTTTGGATGTGATTTTATAATGTATCGTATTTTATTTTATTGTATTGTATAATATCGTTTGATGAATAATATAATGTTTGGATTGATTGTATTGTTTGTTGTTATTTCATCATATCATGCACTAGCAATATAAAGAATAAATTTGTAATATTATAAAGAAAAATTATAATACATGGTAAATTTATTATATAAAAAGGTAGGGCAAATGATAAAATAAAATTATTGCCGTACCTTTTTCTCTATAAAAAGGTAGCGCAAATAATAAAAAGAATAAATTGTGGTTGCATTGTTATCTTGTCTTTTTCTCTCATCTCACCCTTCATTATTATTAAATAATTTTATTTTATTATTTGCCATACCTTTTTATTTAATAAATTTAACTTGTATCATTTTTTTTTTTATAATATTGCTGGTGCGTGATATCATGAAACAACAACAAACGATACAATCTATCCAAACATTGTATTCATCAAACGATACCGTATAATACAATATAATACGATACGATACATTATGAAACGATGTGTAACAACCATGAACCATTTCTTTTTCTTCTTAGTCACCAAGATTTTTTAGAATATATTAGTATGTATTCATTTCTAGTGTTTAATTTATTTAATAGTCTATAAATGAGTTTTAGTGAATACTGGAAATATAAAATAGTTTAATGAGTTAAATGAGTTTTTTTAAAAGAAAATTCAAAGGCAGGACGAGCAGGGGGCGATTAAATGAAAATTAATAAATTTTACTGTTTCAAACTCGTCAAATTTAACTAAATAACATTGGAAATATAAAATAAAATAAAACAAGCGAAAATTAAGGCCGGCATAGGCGGTAAGAAAGAGAGAAAATATTTAAGTGGGCAGGGCAGGCTTCACCTGGTTCGCTCGTTTGCCATCCCTACACTAACTCTTAGAGTAGGGGCAGAGGCGGAGAGCTATAATTTTTCTTACATATTCGACAAAACTCAAAAGCTTTGATTCAAATATTATATTTGCATTTAAAAATTCACTTAATATCTTAATAAGTTGTCTTTTTAAAATGCAAAATTCATAACTCAAAATTCGAATTCCGCCTCTATTTAAGGAGATCATATTTACTAAGTTTGGCCACAAAGGCACCATGCGAGGACCATCTAGTGATCATTACAATTGTAGCTGGGACAAAGTGTTAATTAATGTTAGTAAAATACATTTATTGCATGTTGTTGTAATATCAATACCTTTGTTGATAATAGTATCTTATAAATACAATTTATGTAATTTTAAAATATCATATTTACTAAATGATTCAATATCTAAACTTTTCAACTGCTAGTTTGATAATGTTTTCTACCACTAACTACCAACGAACATTATACAAATCAAATTGTTGCTCAAATTCCATATCATTTCAAATAGGCTACATTAAACAAGACAACGTGAATTATATCTAGCTAATTTGGTTTTAAAAATTTTATTCTGAACTAGTAGTCAAAGACCCCCTTAATTTGATTCCCTTTAACTGAAAAATGATAACCACTTTAAGACAAAGGGAGTACTATAGTTATAGACCATTATCTAATCTTACAAAATCTAAATGATTGATTAAAATATGGAAAATGGGAAAAAAGGTACATATTATTCCCCATTTTCTTTCCATAGTTTAATTTCACTTAGTTTGCAGTCTTACTACACAGAGTAACTACTTAGATTTCCACAAGCAATCTATATAAACCCTCTAAAGGCTGACCTTTCTTTTCCAAACGGAATGTTTTGTGTACCGAGCTGCCTTTTAAATTTTTAAATCTTTACTTCTTTTATGCATTTATAAAGCCGAATTTATTTTTTTTTTTTGGATTTTTCATCCAATGTTCGGCGTCTGCATTTGTGATCGATTAAAAATCCTAAATTGGGTAGTAAAATTGTTAGAGCCCAGTCTGCACACAACTGGCCCAACAACTGATCCGGCCCAATTTCTCTTTGTAATAAGCATTAATACATTAATGTATTTTTCTATTTTTTCCTTGTAAATATAAAAAACTGCTGGAGTGAAAAATAAAGATTCAGAGGGTTATATTATAAAAAGTCATCTCCTGCTTCTCTCTTTCTCTCTTGACCCTTCTATGGTTTTCTTCTAAATAACTCCACCATAGCTCATTCAGCTTTATTCGAACAAAAATGCTCCTTAACTAGACGAGTCCAAATATTATTTTTCGCTCGATATCCGATACTTATATTAGGGCACGACTAAATACGAATTAATATCAATATAATGTCACAATCTACTTTTTTTCGGGGAAGCTGTTATATTATGTTTTCCTTTGCTTTGAGAATTGAAACAGTTGTAAGATTAAAAGTTAAAACTCTGAAGTTGATAACATAGTTTATAAAAATTATTAGAATTATTATTGCACATAGAAAAGATGAAAGTATGTGATAAAAACACAAAGAGATTATTATATATGTTTAGAAGGAAAGCATCAAATCAAACACTACAAAAAGGAACTGTGGAAAAGAGGGGACATGATTTCCTGTTTTCTTGATTCTAAAAGAACAGTGCCAAAGCCTTAGTTGTCCATTTAAATTGTAGTGGGTCCAAATACTCACCTAATGCATAAAATGCCATAACCCCCTATTACCCCATCTATTCTCCTACGTACCCCAAAATAATTGTAATTTTTTTTATAATTATAATGTCTGCACCAATTTATACGCACTTTTAATTACTTCTAAGAGATACATACTTACTCCAACCATCACATATATCAACTACTAAATACTTTTAATTTACACGCATTTTAATTAATTCTACGAAATACCTGCTATTTTCGACCATCAAAAATATTAATCGATTACTAAATACTTTTAATTACCCCTACCCTTACCTTATCATTTTTCTCCATTTCTTTTCTTGGGCATTTGACAAAAGAAGAAGAGAACACCTTTATTTTTTCTCTTTCTGTCACTTCCTTATTTCCATTTATTTTCCTTTTTTTTTTTCCTTTATTCAATTGCCTCTCAAGTCACTACTCTCTATAACCCAAACCAAATGGCCCCTTTCAAAAAAGCCTTATCAAACTTTTCAAACTTTCTACTTCATGTCCTCTTCTTCTTCTTCTTTCTTCTTTCTAACATTACTTGCCAATAGAAGAAGCATCTGATAAAATCTTCCTGCTACACAATCTCAAAAAAGTCATTCAAATATTCCATGTTTTCTCTGCTATTTCTGAACTCTTACTGAATTGTCCATAGAGTTTTCAAGAATATGATCAGTTTCTTCAGAAGAAAAGTACCTCTTATTCTAGTCTTTTGGATGGCTATTATATTAATCACTATTTTTGGTCATTGTCATGGCTCAAGAACCAGCTCTCAAGTATTTAACCCAAGTAGCCAAAGAAACTCTCATAAATATGGCCATTTTTGGAACTTATTGCCAAAGAGAATTCCAATACCAGCTTCTGGTCCATCAAGAAAACACAATGATATTGGTCTTAAGAGTACTTGGAGATTTCCCTGAAAACTAAGTTTAAATCTTCGATCTGGCTCTACTAGAAGAAATCAAATACATGCATCTTCTTCTTTTTGGAGGAATACTGTACATTTTTGGGTTTCAAGACTTCTTTTTTCTTTTTTCTTTTTTTTCTTGACTTTGATGATATAACAAGGATTGTGTTAGGTTGATTTAGCTTCTTTTGGTGAAGGTGACGAGAAAGGGAAATTATGAAAATATGAAAAAGATGAAGAGGCTGATATATGGTTAATTATTGGCTTAATTCAAGAACAATTTTTTGGTTTTTGTGGATCAAAGTATAATTGATCAGTAGCTGGTTAGGTGGTGCGGTTCATTAGTATGCTTTGAAAAGCTTGTGTATGTATTTTTGTATACATAGAAGAGATCATGAAAATACAAGAAGAAAGACTCTATTTTTCTAGAAAATTTGTTGTTATTTTTATTTAGTATTATTTGAACTTTTTCATTTTTCTTGTAATTCGATCTCCTTTAGTTTTCGAGCGTGTATAGATCCAGGGGCGGAGCTAGTATTGCGGGTTCGACCGAACCCAATAACTTCGATTCAAATTAAATTTTATATGTATATAGAAATGTGTTAAAAAATATATAAATTACTATTATTTTAGAACTCAATAATTTTAAAATACTACAATTTCAGAACTCATTAGCTAAAAATGCTTGTTCCGCCTCTACTTAGATCAACTCTACTTAGACTTGGCCACTTTTTCACAAGTTTGTGCTTTCTTTCTTTTTCGGTTAACTGCTACTCGCAAATTATTTCGACAATCCGATCGCAGTCGGGATTAATTTATGGAAAATAAAAAAGATATTTCTTGAAATTACACTATTATCCTATAAAAGAAAATTTAAACCGTTTCAATGTTATAAATTTCTCTCAACTTAAATTCAGTCATAATCACCACCACGGCTGTATTATTATTATTATTATTATTATTATTATTATTATTATTATTATTATTATTATTATTATTATTATTATTATTATTATTATTATTACTCCTACTATTCTTATCATCATTCTTATTATTGTTATTATTATTTATTTTTATTAGTATTAGTTTAGTAGTTTTTTACTATATGTTTTGTGACTAATAATGTCAACATGCAATTCTTGTGAAAGCAAGTGTATTTATGAGTACTGAAAGAAGGCGATATGAATATCTCATGTCATAGATACAGCTGCGCACGTAAACTCTTAATTTGGTACTCATACCGTACTTGGAAATGTAGGCATACCAAATTAACAATGGTGTCACTGTCATCCTATTTTTGTTTTTTATATTTGTTTCGTTCGTAACAATTATTTTAATAATAAGTACCTTTTATTTTAATTCTTCAGAGGAAAATCTTTGCTTCAAATTGTCATATATAGTTTTTTCAAGTACGAGAAAGGCTAAATGTGTTTAATTTTATTTCCCTTACTTTATACTACTCTTTTTTTCCCCTTATGTATTTGTCCATAATGTACCAAATAATTCTAGATTTGCGTATAATTGCTATGATTTTGTTCATTAATTGCTTTAATCACCATGATCCAGTTAAAAGTAAAGTCGATCAAATTTTCTCGAATATAATTAGTATATAGCTTTTGTAATGATTTGAAGACAAATGTGTCCCCATTATTGTTCATGATTTTCCCTACAGAAGTATCATATGATAAGAACCAATACTTTTAAACTGCAAAAGAGTTACAGTTAGTAAATATGAACTTGCTTTTTACACAGGAATGAAGCATGGTATCCGAAGTTTGACGAAAAAGGCTTAATTAAGGGAAAAAATAAAAATAAGGAAATTCAAAAAATAACTTTTTAGGGAATTAATCTAATTGATAAGCAAATTACTTGAGAATTAATACAGACGTTTATTTCTTTTGTACTCTTATTATCAAATACTGGACCAGCACACATGGGTTATTATTGATAAAGTGTATCTGAAATTCTGAATAATGGAATACATGAAATTATCCATCTAAAATTGCATTATGCTTATCTTTTATCTCTCGTATTCCTTTTTTTCTTAATATTAGTTAGGAAAGATATTTCACTTTATAAAACGAACTTAAATACTATTTAGATACAAACAGTTGCATCTCTGACTTCAAGATGCAATTTTTAATTATTTTCACAAGTTAGTTTGTCCGGTAAAAACTTATACATTCGATATTTACAACCAAATTATGCTAATTTATTATGATTAAGTCATAAATTAAGCTAATGATATTAATTAATTAATTATAATTTAAGTAAAATAATAATAATATATATAAAGACACGTGTCAAATATTTATTGTGTTTATATAAACACATCATAATTTTTCACCTACTTTATCCTATTCTTGTACTACTTTATGCCTTTAACTTGCTCTTATATATTTCTTCTTTCGGCGGGCATAAATTATACAATTACGGACAGCTGTTATGTATATACATGGTAAAAAGTAGATTTTGTGTATAATATGCTGATAATCTTTTTGACAATTAAATATCCAACTATTAACTAACAACACATGGAATAGCATGTTCGGTTTAAAAAGTTATTTTTCTTAAATGCTTATTTTAGAAATTTGAGTTATTTGGCTAGTCTTTAGGGCGAAAGAAAAGTGTTTTTGAATATTAGCAGAAGCTGTTTTCTAGAAGTTGAAAAAATTTAATTTTTTTTTCCCAAATATATTTCTTCGAGAAGTTCTTTTGACATTTTTATTTTAAAATAAATAGATTTTGGAAGTTTAACCAAACACACTGCAAGTTATAATATGACATTTGTCAGCAAACTAAATTCACAGGCAGAGCTAGAATTTCAAGTTTATGCGTTCAGTATTTTAAGCTTTTTAAGTTATTGAGTTCTAAATTACTAATTTATAACTAATTAATAAATTTTTCAAGACAAATACAGAAATTGAACAAAAGCTACTGGTTTCACCAAATCCGGAACCGAACCACAATGGTGGCTCTTGATGTTTAAATTAATCATTTTATAGCACTATATCAATTTTGGTGCAAAAGTTAGATTAAAACAATTAAATAGAGCAATAGCATGCCGTGCCATTCCTTAAATCTGTGGATCTGTTTCGAAATATGTTTAGAGGGCCCCCCTTGTTTAGGATTATGTTAACAAAGATCATTTGACTGGGATTTTTTAAATGTTACTTCCTTAAATATTTTATCGTCATTAATATTCTAAAATATATTCCACGTTTCAAGGCCAAAAGTGGAGTATAAAGAACAGAGTTTCTCTAATTTGCTGCTAATTGGCATAATTTATTATGAAACCGGAATTTTTGGAATGGATTCAACAGCTTTTTAGGAAATATTAATAGTCAATGTAGTTCATATTTTCCTTTTCCCCCCCTTTATTCTCCTTTCTTGTCTTTGAAAAGAAAAGTCAGCTTGGTCAATGTGGCATTAATTAATTTATCAAGGGTTTGTAATAAAGTACCGTATCCGTCAAATACATAAATCTATAGTCTGCTTTATTAACTATTTTTTCCAAGACAATAGTAACTATTTTTTTCCAAGAGACTTAACTATTTTACCGTTATTAAAATTTAGACTTCAAAATACTAAAAGTAAGAGTAATATCTGCTTATTTTCCTATACAACTTTATTAAAAAAAATATTTATTTTGTTTTAATTGAATGATTTAACGGACTTATCTGGATCAATGTATAACTTATAGGGCACCAGTAGAAAATGATTAAATAAAATTTGACAGTATCAATCAAACTTAATCAACTTTAAATGTTGAATAAATTATACAGTAATAATTTAAGACAAAGTAAAATGTATAAACCATGGCCTTTTGCTATAACCAGAGTTTTTACCCTTCGTACTTTTAATTAAAGTTGGGTGGGAAGTTCCCCTAATGATTGTAATAATTCTGTAGAATGACTAAAATCGAGATTTCATTATGGACCCACAAAAAAGTAGAAAGTAAAGATGGTAAAATCATAACTTGAGAGTTTTCTTTTATTTTGTTTTTAAAATTTCCTTTTTTCCTTTGATAATTTGAGAGTTGAGATTGGTACCTTGTGACCTGACAGTAAGTTGTTTTCATTATTAATTTTCTCTAATAAGTTTATTAATCATAGTGCATTATTTGACTCATGTGCGTTTTATTTCACATGAATGCCTGCTAGTTTAATTACTTAGAAAAAGTGAGAAACAATTAATTTGCAATTTACACTTTCTAGCTTAGAGAAGAATTAATTTGCATTAGAAGCTGCTTCAGGCAGAAGATTGCAGTCTGCCGGAGTATCTAAACCATGTAAAAAGTCTTTAATTAAGCCCTCTAACTATTACCTCTCGTTTTAGTCCCTAACATCACAAAATGTCAAATTTTGCTAACAAATAGCTATACTAGGGGCTCGAATTTCTTTAATAAAATTATAGCAGCAACAAAGCATATTATGTTCTAAGATATTTATTAGTATGTAATTTGGACATTTTATCCCGGTCTTATAAGATTTTTTGGATTTATCTTGATGCTCTCTCTAGGGCTAGAGACTAAAAAACGCCCTAAGGCACATCTAGTAGGCGCTTGTTTCACAAGATTTACATTTCATGAGTGCAACTGATACTCAGAGGCCAACAATATAGTTTTTACATAGATCATGTGTCAAATTAATTTTGTTAGCGTTATTGAAACTCAATTTTTTAAACTAAGCACTACCCCAACAGTGCTCTTCATCTATTGTTGACAGTGGTGGTATTGTGTTCAGAGAATGTTGTGGTGGCTAGGGTTATTGAAGCCATCAGATGATAACAAATGAGACAAACCAGAACACAAGACTTTAAGTTGGAAGAATTGGCTAAGATTTGACTTTAGAGTAAGCGACCTCAGAATCGGGATTTGAAGGTTCCAATAGGTTCGTATGATGATTTCGGGCTTGACTGTATGTTCGGGTTGAGTATCGGATCACTCGGGATCGTTTCGACGCTATTTATAAAAGGTTGGCATATTAAAAGTTTAAGAATTTCAAAAGTTTGGTTAGAAGTGGATTTTGATGTTATCGATGTCCGTTCGGGGTTTCGAGCCTTGGAATAGCTTTGTTATGTCATTTGTGACTCGTGTGCGAAATTTAAAGTCATTCTATATTTATTTGATACGTTTCAGCACATGATATATAATTTGAAAATTTATAAGTTTGATTCGAGGCGTGAGACATGATTTTGATATTGTTTGTCGTGCTTTAAGGCTTCGACTAAGTTCGTATTATATTTTGGGATATGTTAGTATATTTGGTTAAGGTCCCGAGGGCCTCGGGTGAATTTCGGATGGTTAACAGATTAATTTTTGGACTTGAGAAATGCTGAAGCTCGGCAATAGCTGGTGTGATCGCTTCTGCGATGTCTTGGTCGCAGAAGCGAGCTCGAGCTCGCAGAAGCGAAATGGGAAGGGACTGGCAGTGGCCGC